ATACCAAGGGCTCAAGTAGAAAGAAAATGTTTTAAAAATGATGATGGCAACAAATGTACAAATGTGCTTGACATGATGGATGGATGGATGGATGGATGGATGGATGGATGGATGGAGTATGATAAGAGTTGTACGAGCCCCTAATAAAATGATTTAGAAAAAAAAGGATTGGTGTAATCTTTTTAAAGATTTAAAAATTTTGTTCTACAGTTTCATTCCATACTGTCTAGGATCTTTATCAGAGTGATTAGTAATTCTTCTAGTTTCATGATAATAAAGGCTGTGATTCATGTTTATCATTAGTGCTTTGTACTAATTATTTCCTTGAGTCTTTTATTTTTTTCCACTCTTTCCTCTGGAGAGGAAGAAACCACTAGTAGTATCACAGATGGCCACTCTCTAGCTTTTAAGATCACAGTTACTGTTCACTACAGTATGATATAGGACATATTCTTTGTGGGCTATGCTATGCAAATTGATTTTACTGTCTCCTGAGACTGTGGTCCTAAACTCCCAATCCCTCAAGCCCAGTAAATCATTCCCACTAGGTTTAATATGTGGAACTATCAATAGTTCCACAAGACTCAACAGCTACAAAGTTCTCACCAATTTGTCCTGTTTGCTCTACTATATATGTAGATATGTTTACAGCACATGTAAATACATATGTAGAAATATTCTCTGCCAAATCTATAAATATGTTCATGGGTATAATACCATCAAATATTTTTTGTCATTTGTGCCAGTATGCATGGGCTCCTTTATGAAAAAATATCCTGTATTTAAGGAGTTAGGCCCAAATTTAATTTAGTAAGCTAATTTAAGCAAATTTTTTATTCAAAGTAGACACCAAAAATTCCCTTAGGACTTCTGGCCTTGTCTATATAAATCATTTTAATTGTTCCAAATCATCACATCAGCAATATTTTGTCTACCTACTCTCTTGTGAACCACAAAGGAAATGCTGAATTACCCAGTGGGAGTAGAGAGTTGGTTGGACTACCCTGCTGAAATTAGGACCTGGCTTTGTAACTTGAGAACAGCTAGAGAGGCATGAGCCCTAGAGCTTCTTGGTGCATCTGGTGGACCTCATGTGTGAGGTAGAGCGTTAGAGTGTTCTCCAAATGACAGACTCCAGGACTGGTACTGAAGCCCATGAAGACCCAAGTTCAAGTGTGGGGTTCCCTACCTGGATGACAATCCTGGGTGCCACACAATCCTGAGTACTGTCAGGGTCTTGGGGAATTTCAGTGAAGGCCTTCTAAAGCACAGAAGTGTCTGAGGCACTGCCGTCCCTTTTCTAAAGGAAGTGCCGACTGGAATGGATTTCTCTCCTCTATTTCCTTCATTGCCTTCCTTCTCCCCTCCCTTCTTTTCATCTAGCAACGATGTGCAGCATCCAAAGAGAGAATGTGTTGGAACAGCCAAGAGTTCTTCCTGAAATTCTTCACAGTCAATTTATTTGGTTGTACTGAGAAGATTTTCTTAAGGAGTGTGGTGATTATATTTTAAGAAGTAATCGGCATGTATTTGTCTTCAGAGATTCATTAGTAATTTGTCTCTTGGCCACTTACCCACTTACTAACTTGGGTAAGATTGGCCAGTTACCAACCTAATCTCCTTGATGAGACCTCTCCTTTAATCCTCCACATGCACTTCCATCCCTAACACCCTCCTTTCAGTGGTCTCATGTCATCACTACTACATGCTATTTTTTGAAAGTTTTGAAAGATCATTGACTTCAATATCTATTTCCCTGTCTTTATTTAGAAAATTGGCATGAAGCTGGCAAACTGAAGCAAATAGTTGATGAAAAAACGCATAGCACCAATTTGCTGGTGGTTCTCTCTTGCTTGTGCTCTTCCTCTCATTATCTTTTACTTCTTCCCCAAATGCCGCATTTGTTATACATATGATGATGTCCAGGAGTCCTGGTTGCATAGTGGTTATTCATTGGGGTGCTAGCTGTAAGGTCAGCAGTTCGAAACCACCAGCCTCTTTGAGGGAGAAAATTGGGGCTTTCTATTCCCATAAAGAATTACAGTCTCAGAAACTCGCAGGGGTAGTCCATAGGGTAGCTATCAGTCTGCATCAACTCGATGGTAGTGAATTTGACTTTGATTTATGATGATGCCTAGGCATATTTATGTGTAATGTGTAAAGGACCTTGCTAAAGGGCATAATGAAAACAAGAGCTTTAAATGCCAAATAATCATCATGTGCAAGAGGAAAATGTCTTATTAATTTGGCTCAAGTGATTGAGTTAGGTCAGTGAGTGAAAGTAGAAGATGATCCAAGCATGATGTAAAGAAAACCTTTTTTATTGTGGCTGTCAAAGATAGAATGCTCTGTCTTATGGTGGCCCCACAGCAAATATGTTAGGGATGTGTTTGAAATATTGGTTAGATTGGGAGTTTATTTCCCTCTGATAAATAAAGTGTGAGAAAAGTCCTGGTAAAATAGAAGATTAGATAACATCTTGGCAGAGCAAGGATAGCCTTTTCCTAGTATTTTACCTTCCTTTCCTAGGCCCAGGTGGACATCTGCCCTGGAAACTACACTGATTAGCTAAATTGTACCCTAAATTGGCTCTTGACCTTGGCCACCTGATAGTCCTGGGTGGCATTCATGACATCTGGATTATCATCTTGTCCAAGACTCTATATCTGGTTCGAACCAGGCATTGATATATGGACCAAGTTATTGTTCAAACCTTCCCAATCCCTGTGATTATATAATTTAATGCCCCTTGCTTTATTTGATTTATAGGGTTTTTAGTATTACCTTTATTAAACTGAATTTCTAAAGGGTAACGTTTGGAATAATCTTGTACCTCACACCCTCTCTTTATTCCTTTATATTTCATAGAATATTACATTCACAACAGATTCTTAGAGAATACATTTTGACTTGCCATTACATGAACCTATCCCAGCTTACTTGTTTTGTGTTTTCTTTCCAGTTCTCCATCCTGTTCTTTTCCCCCAACCAATACTTGATTGCCAATACTGAGGTCACTGAGCAATGCTAAGGGTCACCATCTCCCAGATCAAATAAAGGTACAAGTTCCTGGTTGCATTCTTTCCATACCTCTTATTTTTAAAGGGTAAATTCCCTATAAAAGCCTGAGAAATAATTAGTGAAAAAAAATTAATTTTATAGGTTTGTATGTTGCTAAGTATTTTTCTATGTCGAATCTACTCTTCGGTCATTCAAAAAAAACAACACAGCCATCTAGGAAAAACATATAACAAAATATTCATTTTCCTTCAAATGGTTTGTGTTGTGTGTTAACCCTTCACACTCAGAGAAAAGTTTGGCTGTGTCCCAAACAGTGGGGATTAAAATTAGCAATCTATCAGCTACTAGCTAAGTTGATTTGAGCCTTCACAGGTGTCATCTCAGGAGTGCATACTAGACTTCTGAGCTTCTGGGCTGTACCAGTCAGTTATGGCCCATACTTTGTACTATGCCTTTTGTCTCCCTCGATCAAGATCCTTAACCTTAGCCACATCACTGACTTGGAGTGTCTGCTCAACCACCTGGCAGAAGTGACACCAGCTCTGGAATACCTCAGCCTTCTGGGTAATGTGGCATGCCCCAATGAGCTGGTCAGCTTGGAAAAGGATGAAGAAGACTACAAGAGATATAGGTTAGTATCTCTGGGCTTGAGTGTGTTGGGAGAATGGAAAAAATATTTGGGGGGATTGATAGTGTACTGTGTGATTGACATACTGAGACTGTGACATTGACATGCTTAGTCAATGTCAGTGGACTTCCTAGAAAAGGTTGGGCTTTCTTTACCTTTTAGTAAACTCATGCTCTCCTTTGGTGAAGCCACAGAAGATAAGGAAGATGAACACCTGTCTAGGGCAGAGGTTGGAATTTTTTTATTTTAGGTAAAGTCCAGATTATAAATATGGACTTTATGGACCATAGAGGTATCCATTAAACTTTAAAAGTGAATGGACATGTGTTCCAATAATATCTTATTTAACAATAAATAGGTTGTGGGATAGATTTTACTTATGGATTTGTGGTGAAACTTGACATAACTTTTCTAGCCATAGTCTTAGTACCACCAAATGGCTGTGCAGGACCAAGCAAATAAGGTGCACATAAATCAAATGAAGGTATTGGTCAATGTGCTATCCCACTGGCTTTAAGATGTTCTGTCTAAGAATAAGAAGTGGAGGTTTTCATTACCATCAAGAAACACGAGCCAAGAACAAGCATATTCTTTGGATCTTGAAATCCCTGTACATTAAACTGCTTTGATCCAAAAGACAGAGAGTTATGACACCAGAGGAGCAGCAAAAGAGCAACAACTGCTGAGATAGAAGAAACAAGAGCATGAGACAGAATAGTGGGCTTCCTGCAGATCAAGTAAAGCTTAGTGCCTTCATGTAGGATTGTGGGGTGGGAATTTAATTAAAGTAGCTAAGTTTGCTGACCCATGGAACTGGACCTGAGTACCTCCAAGATGAAGCTTATGTTGTAGTGGACATTGGACAGTTGGACATTTATCAGCAGTGCTGAAGGAGCTTTGTAACACTGTCAAAACAGAACAGGGGCCAACAGGTTGTGTGGCTGGAAGCTGGGACCCAAAGAGAGGCATCCTTTTGACCATGGCTAAGAAATGGTAATCCTGTCTGGAAGAACTGTATCCTGGATTTCTAATGTTGAATAGTAACTTGTTCATTTCTCCTTAAAACCCCATAATTATGAGTATTGTCTGTGAGTTCTTTGTGGCGATTGAAATGAAGGCATATAAAATAAATAATAACTTCCATGATGAATGTATTACTCAGAACAATCAATCATAGGAGATGAAAATGGTAGAATTCACACCAAAACAAGTTCAAAGGAGAGGCCGAGGCAGCAAAGAAAGGACAAATGGACATTGGAGAATACAGGGAGGAACAGGGAAGAATGCAGTTACACTGAGTCGGGGGGATCAAAACGAATGCTAGGAAACAAAATCTGTATAAATTGTTGAATTGAAAAATGATCTGTTCTGTAAACTGTCACCCAAACCACAATGAAGTGTTCAAAATAATAAATAAATCATAAATTTTAGGGAACCTTCTTGGTCTTACACATCTTACTGAACTTACTTTGTTTCTCTCCTTCATTTTTTATTTTGTAGTCTTTCATTTTTGAATTTTTACTAATGTTTTAATGATCTTTTATGTATGTTGAATTCTTTCATTGTAATATAACCTTTCATGAACACTGCTCACCTAAACAACGTGGGAAGGTGAAAGAGTGGAAGAGATTAAAGGATAGGGAAGAAATTCAGGGCAGGTAGGGCATCCAGAAACTAGATTTGGGAGAGCTAGAGGGAAGTAGGGTACTAGTCAGAGATAATATATTGTACTGAGCATCATGCATAAATACATGAATTCATAGAAAGTAATACAGTTATAAAAGCAAAGCAATAAATGTATTGAGTAACACACTAGGAAGAAAAAAATAATCAATACTCACTCCCATTGAGTCAATTCCAACTCGTAGTAAGAACTAGAGAATAGGCTCACCCTGAGGCTGTAACTCTTTAGGGAAGTAGAAAGTCTCATTTTTCTCCCAAGGAGCAGCTGGTGGTTATGCACTGCAGACTTTGTGGTTAGAAGCCTCACATATAACCACTATGCCACCAGTGCTCCTTACTAGAAGATTATTGAATTTTACAGATTAAAAAATATACATACACAGGGTCAAGATGGCTGACTGATCACACAAAGAGTGAATTCCTCTCCAAGAATCAGGATAAAGACATGAAAAAAGAGAGTGGGGTGCAAGCAGTCTGTAGAACAACCCACAGATTAGTGACTAAAGCCCCCTGAGGGCCAGGGACCCCCAAAGAAAAACACTATGATTTATTGTAATCAAATTCACCAACATCAGAGATAAGGGGGAAAAAATCTAAAATCAGAGAAAAAAGAACAGTCACATACAAAGGGGCAGGAATTAGAATAAGCTCATATTTTTCAGCAGAAATCAATGCAAGCAAGAAGAAACAGCAGTGATCTGTGTGAATTTTTGAAGGAAAGAAATCATCAATCAAGAATCTTGCATCCAGAAAAAGTATCACTCAAATAAGTAGGAGAAATGAAAGTATTCTCAGACAAGAAGAAATCAAATAAATTTCCACCACTAAAAACATACAAATTGCAATCCCATGGCCAAAAAAGCAGCAACAGCAGCACACCCACTTGAGACCACATACAATTCTTCCCAAAGCCAGCACACTTAAAGCAGTATAAAAAACAACACAGAAATATAGGAAGAACAAAAAAATTACCCCTTCCCTTTGCAAACACACATATGCAAAAAAATTAAAATGACAGCAGTAAACCCATATATTTAAATAATCTTGCTGATTGCTAATGGTGTAAATAGACTGGTAAAGAGACAGAGAGTAGCAGACTGGATAGAAAACAGCACCCATCAATATGCTGCTTACAAGAAACAATCTTCAGATACAAAGACAAAAATGAGGGGGAGTGCAAAGGGACCCAGGGCCCATCCAGGGGAAATTGGACACCCCTTTGCAGAAGGGCTGTGGGGAGGTGAGGAGCATATCGGAGTGCAGTGTAGTAATAATGAAATATGAAATATGAAATTTTTCCTCTAGTTCTTAAATGCTTCCTCCACCCCACTACCATGATCCCAATTCTACCTTACATATCCGGCTGGACTGGAGGAGGTGCATTGGCACAGACAGGAACTGGAAATACAGTGAACCTAGGACAGATGAACCCCCCAGGACCAGTGGAGAGAGTGGTGATGGCGGGAGGGTGGAGGGAAGGAGAGGGAGAAAGGGGGAACAGAGGACAAGTTCTACATGTGGCCTCCTCCCTGGGGGATGGACAGCGGAGAAGTGGGTGAGGGAGACATTGGATGGGGTAAGATATGATAAAATAATAATAAATTATAAATTATCAGGGGTTTGAGGGGGGGAGTGGGGTGGGAGTGGGGAAAATGAGCTGACACCAAGGGCTCAAGTGGAAAGCGGGTGTTGTAAGAATGATGAAGTCAACATATGTACTAATGTGCTGGACACAAATGACGTATGTACAGATTGTGATGAGTTGTATGAGCCCCTAATAAAATGATTATTTAATTTTAAAAAAAGTTAAAGGCTGGTTAAAAGAATATCAAGCAAATGACAACCAAAGAAAAGCAGTTATGGCAATATTAATCTCTGAAAAATAGATCTCAAGGCTAATAACATAATGAAAGACAAGAATGCTCACTACATGATGATTAAAGTAATAACAACCCAGGAAGACATAATTATAATAAGATACGTAAATACACCCAATGAAAAATTTTGAAATACATTAATCAAATCCTCACAGAATTAAAGAGAAAATAGACGGCTCAACAATAATAATGGGAGACATCATTACATCACTCTCAGAGACAGATAGATCATCAGGAAAGGAACACAATAAAGAAAAGAGCCAAACAACACAATCAACTTGACCTCCTAGACATATATAGCATACTCCATCCAAAAACAACATAGTATACATTCTTCTCCAGTTCACATGAAATATTCTCAAGAATAGACAACATGCTAGACTACGAAGCAAGCATTAACAAATTAAAAAAAATTCTACAACCCATTTTCTCAGATCACACCATAAAACTAGAAATCAAACTAAAAGGAACAGAAACATGAAGACAAAAACATGGAGATTGAACAACATACTACTTAAAAACCACTGGTAAACAAATCAAATAAGAGATGAAATCTAAGCTCTCTTGAAACAAACAAGAATGATAACACAATATCCCTAAAACCCCTGAGACACAGGAAAAGCAGAGGTCAAGTATAGCAATCAATACACATGTGAAAAGCGAGGAGGAATCTAAAAACTCCTCAAAACACTGTCAACAACTGGAACAAGGGCAACAGCATAAACACCCAGCAAGAGAAGAAAGTAAATCATAAAGATAAAAGCAAGAAAAAACCAAAAAATCAATAAGACAAGAAGTTGGTTCTTTAAAAGGACTCAAAAAATTGGCAGACTGCTGGCAAACTTAAGAAAGGAAATGAAAGAAAATATGCAAATACATAGAATAAGAGATGAAAAGAGCAACATTATAACTGATCCAAATGAATAAAAAGAATAATACACTACTGCGAAAGACAATACTCAAGTTTGACAATATAGAAGACATGGACAAATACCTAGAACTATACCATCCAACCAAATAAAAACAAAGAAAGCAGCTAGAGATCCATAACAAAAGAAGAAACATAAAAGGTCATCAAGAAACTTCCAATCAACACATCCTGGCCCACCAAGCCCTGAGGACAATTCTGGCTCGGAGCAGCCAATGCACAGAGAGGACTATAGGGCCAGCCCCACCATGAGACACAACATTCCTCATTGACCCATAGCACTACAGGGGGGAAACACTAGAGACACAGTGCAGGAATTGTGGCCCATCTGACCCTACCACACCAGGTGGGAAACACTAAGGGTGTGCAACAGAGCAGCACAGGGAGCAAAGGAATGAAGTCCCCGAGAAATACCAAAAATAGACTTTGGGGCCAGGGCATGCCACCCCAACAGACTTGACTGGAAAACACTTACAAAGGTCAATAGACAGACCTGGAACTATTTATAGACTTTT